TCCGCAGCTGAGGTAGACGGTGTGGTTTTTGAACAGGATCTCGAGGGCTTCACGGGCGACTTGACGGTTGAGGAGGAAGTATTGGTGGCGGGTTATGAGGAGGATGGCAGCAGCGCTGGGTTTGAAATATTTCAGGTGACGTCGCTCTATGGCCCGGTCAACGCTGAATTCTTGCGCAGCGAAAGTGTAGTCATATATCTATATTGCCGTCAGTCTAAGATCCAGCGGAGTGGCGGCAGAGATGCATACTTGATCCCGCAGCTCCCGTGGAAGCCTAAGGAAAGGGAAAACATGCGATGGCACGGCGTCCTCCCGTTCAACATGCTCGGTATCAACAGACACGGCGCATGCGGTGGTGGCGTCCATGGTGCCTGCTCACAATTCACGCGTGATTTTCGTGTTGCGAACCAAGCTTTGCCCCGCAGCGCTATCTGCATCGTGACGATCTTCACGTGATTGTGGTGGTCGCTTCGCATCCCCGCCCGCATTTGCCCATCCCTGTCGTGTGGCGAGGCCGCGGCGCAGCTAGCACCTGGATCAGGCAGGCGCTTGACATGTCCCATGGATGAACGGGCCGATTCCTGTCTGTAATGACCGTCATCTTCGTAGCGTATCCGTACTGTCGGGTTGGCAGCAAATCGCGAGGCCAGGCACATAGAAATACCTTGGGTACTGTGTAGAGTCTTCGAGGTTTACTCATCTCGTGCCAACATCGTACGGTAATCGTGCCTGAGGCATTTTTGCTACCCAATGCCACCCAAATCGATCGAGGTACAGTCATCTTAGGCTTCGGTTGGTACCGAGGCGAAATGCTTGCGCTGGTAGTTGCACCACTTCGAGGTAAACCTCCGTTCAACAACCATACTGCTCCGGTAGTCATGACCGAGATGAGCTTTCAGTGTAACTGCAATCTACGAGTAACCGTTGCAGCGCCGTTCGGATCCGGCAATTACAACTATATTGCCTTCAGGTACGCGACCGCTGCTGTGCTGCCGAGCTTCAGGGGCCTTGCAGCCGGAATGTCACCAAGCCTCAGATCATCGGAGCATGTCACTGCAATGTCCGTCTAATGATGTACTGCAAGGGAGGCACGGGAGCCTTACCGACTGGTCTTGTCTGCCGATAGACTTTGAGCGCGTAACGACCCACCTGGGGTAGTCCTGCATTGTGTTACGGTCCGCGCCCCAACAGTTCCACTTACCAACGGATACCAACTGCTGGCAGGTTGACGCGTCCGAGTACAACATCTGTCCTTCAAGCCTGCTTTTGGAGGTAGCTGGCGTGCTGATAACGTGTCGCGCCTGTGCAACGTGGAGGCACGCGCGTTCGATGATGCATGTCCATCGGTGGCTTGGATCGAACAACGACATTGACAGACACAAAACCTGAATCATGTATGTTGTTTGAGAGCACAAGAAACCGTTCGTTCCTGGTGTGGTCCACGTTCACAGCAACATGGAAACCATCGCCCGGGCACTGCCCCAAAAGCGTGCCATACAAGCTGCAGACACAACAGCATGTAAGCCTTATATCTCTTACAGCCTAACAATGCTGTGACCATAACTAAGCCTTCCAGATCTTTCGATGCGGAGTTGAACCATGGAAGCAGACGAACACCCATGTTGTTGAGCTCACAAGCCGACGGCCCTGAACGTGGTGAATGGTAAGTTCTGCAAACTTGAATTACGGTTGGCTTGACGGTGGATTCATGTGGGATCCGGAGTTGGCTCCTCAGCCACCGTTGCTCGATCAGAGCACTGGAGGACCAAACATGCACTGGCACCTGACACAAGACCGTTACGTTGTAAACCTGGTCGTCGGGTCTGCGTGTGGTAGCACCGCCAGACCGAGTACAGTGCGAGGAGGCGGCGATACCGCCATGTGGTGTAGAGTAGCTTGACCGGCTTGGACCGACTACGTGATACTGATTCAAAGGATGCGTAAAGATGGACATGTTTCGGCCGCAGTTGCCGTCTGCAGTCCAGTTTCAATGGTCCTAGTCGTTCTAGGCAGACACACTCCAAGTAGGTTAGCCGATCGTGTGCCCCGATGAATACGCTGATGTGATCCTTTGTCTGAGACAACACCGCGGTCGTGGTGGGTGATCGTAGAGCCATGAATGATGTTGGTCATTACTGTGACGAGTTGAGTCGCTGATATGGTTCAGGGCTTCCAATGGCGGCTACAAAGAACATGGAACTCACAGTTCAACAATAATCGATGGAAGATTGCTGTACAGAGGCTGGTCGTCCGAGATAGCAGCGACGTCGATGCTCACATGGTGTCCCGTGTAACCTGGTCGATGGATGCGGGTTCCAAGGGTTCAGCATCATGTGCATTGCAGGTTCCAAGAAGCAGAAGTAGGGATAAACGTAACGGTCACAGACGATCTGCCATTTCGACCAAAGAGCGATGGAGTAAAAGTGGACAGGAGCAAGGGGTGGGTTTATTACCAAGGGTACAGAGGAGGCACAGCGCCTGTGTGACCGCGGAGTATAATTGGCAGGGCAAAAGAGGCTGTGGGCGGCGGGAGTTCTGGCAGAAGTCGGGCCAGGAGGACTGGTTAATGGAGCGGGATGATTGCCATGCGGGAAGCAGGGTTCGGGAGCGCCGTGCCCTGCAGACTTGTGAAGCTCAGTGCATCCATCGGAACAAAGCGACAATGGGGGCAGTGTCGGTGGCCCCGGAGACGCGAAGTGTGGATATGTTCAGCAGTCGTTCTGTACCGTGGTCTCGCACAGCGCTAGCCGGCCAAGTATGGCCATGTTGTTTGGCATGGGCACGGGCTAAGGCGACTACTGCATGCCGGCAGCGAATGCAGGCTACAGAAGGATGCGCGCGCTGCAGGCGGCCATGAGGGATCGGCGCAGGAGGACAGCGTCGCAGAATTTGCTTTTGCTCGGCGCTTTGGCCGGTTGGGTAGCAGGCGTGGAGGGCTAGTGACCTCGTGGCGGTACAGCGGGCGGCGGGATAGCAACACGGGTTTGGCTAAAGTGACGACAAACTACAAGGCCCTGCCATGCTCGCCGCCCGTGTCTGCTGCTCGCGGGGCTCAGGATGCCGTGCCTGCGCATGCGTCTGCTCTGCACGCTGGAGCGGAACGAACCTCTGGCTGCCACAGCCGGGCGGAGTGGCCCCTCGCGGGTCGGTGGTGGCAGAGGGAATTGCTGTCATGGGCACCGCCATATGACAAGTGCACCAGTTCGCGCGCGGAGGCAGGGAGCCCATATTAAGTGCAGCTAGCCGCCGCTAGACGGGCAGCTTAAGATACACGAGGCCTCGATTGAACGATTTCCCACGTGCGGCCGGCTCACCTCTGGGCACCACCATATCCATTAATTGGCTGGCTCCCTGGCTGCCCTTGCGACTCGTCAAGACTCAACCGTCGCCTCTAGCTTTCTGTTGCGCCGCACCTCCTCCACTTTCCAGAGGTCCCTTCCCAACGTCGTACGACGTCCCTACGGCTAGACCGCCGGCTGCCCGCTGCTTTGTTGTGCTCCTTGCTGCCCTCCGCCCCAGGACATGTACTCGACCCGGTAGTCTGCTGACTGCTGCTCTCCTTCCCCACGCGCGCGAATCCAGAGTCTCGACACTTTGTCCTCGTCGCCGTGTCAACTGGTACCATCTCGACCCACCGCGCCCCAGAGCCGCCCCAGCTGGCCAATTCTCACCACGACGCCTCGCTCGACGCCCACGTCGTGCACTCGTCTTTTAGGGCGCCTCCATCGTGTCAATTCCAGATCCCGCCCTCTGGACGCCGTGTCCCATCTGGCCTGGGCAAAGGCACCTTTGTATTGTCCCTGCTGCAGCGTCCGCCGACTAGGGAGAGCACGGCAGCCGCATTCCCAGCTCTCGTGGAGTTTTTGCCAGGAACCGTGTTTGCTTTTGTCCCGACTCGTACCGCCAAAAGAAGTCATTGACGCCGGGCACCCTCGCAGCTGCCACTCCTGCAAGACACGGCCATCGCTCCTGCCCTTCTCGCGGTAATCGGCGTGGATCGTTACCTTGCGCTTGCCATTAGAGTTGGGACGGTCTTGGCGCTCCATTCGTCGTGCCCCACTTCAACCCAACTGCCATCTTTACTTTCAGGGAGGAACGAACCATATCCCGTGCGGCCTCGCTGCCCGTTACCCTTACCACGCCCTGCATCCCTCTTCCACTCCACGCCCCGGCCACTACCCTTACCCAAGCTTTCCTTCCCGGGACTCGGCCCTCTTTTACTCTTACTTCTCCATCTTTCCCACCTGGCCCATCTACGATTGCCGAAAGTGACCAAAACCACTTGCTCTGGCAAACGTCATTATTCCGCGCCTCACTGGCTCCACTATCTCACCCGTTCGAGTGTGGACATCATCACGAGCCCAAAGCCCTCTCGCTACCACTAACGGCGGGCACGCACGACTATTTTATAAGGTACCTCGTGCGCCGCCTCCATATCCATGAACTCTGTTTCTCAGCGTACCACGCCGCACGGAAACATGTCGCAGAACAACATGCAAAACAACATCACTCAGGGCCAGCAATCTCTGCCGCCACTGTCCTCACTCACCAACCGTCTACCTACGGCTGAGCCGACCCCGGCACAGCCCAGGCAGCACTCAGAAGCACGCGAGGTTCGCGACTCAGGCAATTGGTCTCTTGCCCAAAGCAAACGTGAGTTCTCACGATACCTATCATCTGCACGTTATTGACACGCTTTGTAGACTCATCAACTATGTCCCAGTCCTTGGGACTACACGTGCAAACACTACTCAACCCTTCCGATGATTCCCCATCAAGAAGTTCGATACCTGAGACGCCATCATCGGCTAGGTATCCGTCTGGCCTCTCCCAGACGTCTCAGGTACGCATTTTATGATCACCTATAAACTCGTCTAACATAGCAGTAGCATGGTGTTCTACCTCCGCTCAATCAAGGGTTCGACAGCCGGCTCAGTATCGATGCCGGCTCTCATTTCGACTCTCGACGCAGCAGCGTAGACAGTCGGATGAACGCTACCATGGGTCATCTATCCATTCACCCGCAGTCACCATACGAGAGCCAAAATGCGTCCCGAGTCTCGCTTGTCTCGAACCTCCAGCAGCAACGCGGCATCACAAATCCTGATTCGCGCCCTAACGGCACTTCTCCTCTGTCCCCTAATCGTGCTGCTCCGCGTGCCAACCATCCCCCTCGACGCGCTCCGGTCATTAATCCCAACCCAAGGAGCGTGTCTGGCATGCCGGACCCCATGGCGGCGGCTCCAACTAAGGGTTTTGCTTGGGCGTTTCCCGCAGATGATTACGACCACGAAGAGAAGAGGACGTCTAGCAGCGGCGAGTCTAGCGCAGACCGATCCAACGCCCCTTCGCGTCAAGGCAGCTTCGCGACGTCGGTCAACAGCAGCATCTTCACCACAGACTCCAAGCTACCACCCGGTCAACAACGACTGAATGATGGCACGCCTCCCTACTCTCATCCTTCATCAGACGTACTGACTAGTTCAGACATCCCTAGCACTCATCATCACTCCATGCAACATCGCAGCGTGACTAGCCTGCAGAATGTTGATCCCACCAACCCGCTTGCGCCTGGGAGTGGAAGTTATAGCAGGACCCCTGAGCTTCGCGTCAGCCACAAGATGGCAGAGAGAAAGCGTCGTAGTGAGATGAAGAACCTGTTCGACGATCTCAATGGCATCCTTCCCAACAGCCCAGGCAGCAAGTCATCCAAGTGGGAGATTCTCACCAAGGGTAAGTTCACTCATGAATCGCTATATACGTTTGACTGACGTGTCTTTAGCTATTGAATACGTCACCAGCCTGACCCGCGCACATCAAAGCGCTCGCGAAGAGATCAGCCGCTTGCGACCTGATGCAGAATACTGTCGTCGGGCCCAGGAGGAGAACGAGCTCCTCCGAGCAGAATTGAACGCCGTGTGGAACGCTCTCCGTCGCGTCGATCCATCCAACTCTCATGTCTACGGAAGTATGACAGGCCAGTTCGCACAAGGACAACCCGCAACTCCTGCGTCCGGAACCAACGTCCTTCCACCGTTACAGCAGCAGCAACAGCAGCAGCAGCAACAGCAACAGCAAGGGCTCTCGCAACAGCCACCACCATCGCAGGCTCAGTGGGGACCACCGCCGCATGGAGGCTCTATGCAGGGACCGATGCAAGGCGTCGAGTTTGGCGGTATGCGGCCCTACGAGCACCCTCACCGTTGAAGCAACCCTTCTTCACATCACTGTCGTCTTGCATGAGCAACGCGGCTGCTCAAGCCACTCGAGTCTTGACCTTCACTGGACTGTATTTCTGGGTCTGTTTTCCGCCTTACATCGTGAGGCTTCACTTCAGCGTTTTCTGTTTATTACTTCTACACCAACGGACGGGTACACGGTTTAGCCGACTCTGTTCGGACCTAGGACTAGCTGTCCCACCAACAACGGTTTCAATTATCTACCGGCTTTGTTTCACGACCTTTCAGCATCGAATGTATTATGACACGATCCTATGCGACATCATCGGCATACTCGACACCCCTAGAGGGTCTTTCCTTTGTTCACCTACCGGATCGTAGGACGGCGTTATATGGAGCGGCTTACACCTTTGGAGTGAGAGGGCAAGGAAAGCTTCTCGGAGAAAGGTCGGGAAAAAAAGTATATGTCATGAATCACTAAATCGGTGAATCGGGTTCCTCATGTCGGCTCCAAGAGTGGGATCTTCGGCCATAGCAGGCGTACGGTTGGGCTTTGGGTCATTCTCCAGCGATTAATCAGTCTTTCAGTCGGATTTGGCTTCATCACTGCATGTAACCCGGGACTTTGGTCCCCGTCCCCGCCATCGTTCTACACGTGGACATGTATCTGCAACCAAGGAGGACCATGTTTCTCAAACATGCATTAACAGCTATTAGCGGGGGACCTACCACAAATTCTTAAACATGGATCGTCGCTGCAGGTTTGCGCGACCGAACTATACCCACACACCCTCTCTCGCTATCGCTCACTGCACTTGTACTGTTGTTGATGGAGTGTATTGGAGATTCCAAATCCCCGGGTCGTCACGCACGCCTCTTGCCGGATCTTGCCGACACGTGTAAGCATGGCTGCCTGACGTATTGCAGTTAAGTTTCACTGATGGTGCTGTCGTTGTTTCGATGATCTGTTGTTCTGACTGACAGGCGACGGAAGGCTGTTTGCCGCTGTACTAATGACTCGTGTCTCGTCAATATTCCCCGATCCCCATCATCCCCTTTATCTTTGCGCGCCATGCTGTTCTTCAACATACGCTTGACTAACTTCACTTTCGCTTGTTTGTTAACTACCACAAAGTTTAGGTCTGCATCAACACAGCCACGTTCATACACTAGATATTCCGCAACTTGCAATGTTTGCGCGTGGTGGCGTGGCGCGGCGTGGTAGTTCTCTTGGTTGCTTGGTTTCTCGGTGAGTTTGACATTGGCGGGGGGTTGGCATTCGATGAAAGGAGCAGGTGGAGTGCACTTCATTCGACACGAGGTTCATAACTGCGCCGCAGCACGTGGGTTTCGGGATGTGGAGTGCAGTTCTGCCATGTGGAGTACCTCTTTGGACATGACTTGACACACTTGACATGACTTGTAGCTACAGGATAGGCAAAAGGGTGTTGGAGTGCATATGTGTCAGGTAGCCGCGAGGTAAATTACAGTTTGCAACTAGACTGAATCATGTTAGTGCGCGGTCGGTAGGGAATGCCGAAGCCCTGAAGTGGCAGTGGGCGCGACGGCTAGAGCAAAAGGCAAAGTGAGTTTTCCGTAGACCTGGTGTGGCTGGTGACGGTGGGGTGGTAAGTTTGGAGTCGGGAGGTAGGGACTTGGTGTGTATATCTGTCTGCTTATGGTGATCGGTGGTGATCTACAGGCTGCGGTGTTTTCTAGGAGAATTATCTAGGTCCGAGATAGAGTCATGTTGGCTTGACTTGGGATGGTGATGTGATCCATATACATAGTTTGTCTGAGGCGCATGCTGTAGTCACTAGACTGATTGGAGTAGTATAAAGGCGAGGATCACAGCACGGAAAGCTCGATGGGACAGTTCACATCATGACATTAACTGGTAAATGCCGAATTAAATGCGAAGAAAAAGGCGATCGCAAGACGCCGGAAGGGTATAATTAAAACATAAAATCTAACCATCATCATAGAAGGAACCTCTTCAAAGGAGTTCGAGATAAAAACATTACACTACCCACGATGCAAGATAGTATCCAACGGGTTCTTGGGTTCACCAATCGTTTCCTTTTGCACCTGTTTCTTCTGCTTCTTCGTCATGAGGCCCTTGGCCTTGATACCGCGTTCTTTTCGTAGTTTCTTGAGCGCTTCTTCGGTCATTTCTTGACGGAGGATTTGTTCAACGACGAGCTTCTTGCGACTGCGCTTGTCGCCACGACCGATAATGATGCCCGCGGTGATGTTGCATGTAAGACTACAACTCAGGATGATGGCGGTGACTTCCTTGGGGCGGTCTTTGTAGTAGATACCCCATGTGGTACCTCCCAGTGCGCATTGGAACATGGAGTGGAAGTCAAGAAGGACAATGATGGTGATGAGGAGGCGGATGGAAAAGGCATGGTGGGTGTATGTCTCGTGGGGCCGGTAGAAGGTATGTGACTTCTCCAGTTTGCTTTGGTGGTGCTCGAGTTTCTTCTGCTCTTCGGCGGTGAGAACGGGGGCCTCGACGCCTTCTTGTTCTGCTTCGCCTGTTTCCCAAGCGTTAGATCGCGGCATGGTCGGTAGTTCGTTGTGGTCTTTCAACTCTTGTAGTCCTCGTTCTTTACGTAGCCGCCAGGTCTTGTGCGCGTAGTAAGCGACAAAAGCCATGTGGTATGTGTCGACGATGCGGAAGGGGAACATGGTGATTCCAACAACACAGAACAAGGCAGTAAGGACCTGGTCAGCAATCTCGACGAAGTATGCCTGGCGATCACCAACGTAAATCCAGCCAATGAGGAAGAGTACCCATGCTGCTCCCCAGAAGGTAATGAGGAAGAAGTACAACGTGACGAGGAAGCCGAGTGGGTTGCGAACGTAACGTCCGAAGCCCTTCATACTCCGCTTGAATCTTGCGCGTCGAGAGTGGAGAAGATGCCGTACGTGGTCGTCCAGAGCTTCCTTCTCCTCGTCGGTCCATCCTGTCAATGAGGCACCATGTGGCAGCACGGCGTAGTGATGGCCAGCACCTTCCTCGAGAGTCGAAAGATTGGAGTCGATAGTGTTGTTTCTTCGCAATTCTCCGCGCGCGGCTTGTTCTACTTCGCCTTGTTGTGTCATCTCAGGGAGTTGATCTTCCTCGCGTCTGGCCCCTCTAGCTGTGCCCATCTCTTCGTCCGAGGAGTCTGATGTCGTCTGCCCAAGATCGTATGTGGGCTGGCGGTTATAGAGCCAGGGTAGATTGGGCAAGAACAGCGAGTTCTGAACGTTATTCAGCGTAGTGAGGGCAGATATCTCGGGGTCTAGACTTTGTTAGCTGATACCCCAATGTAGCATACTCTGGGGTTACTGACCGATGACATCAAGCACATCGACAACATTGTTGCCCATCATGTTCTGGTTTGGGTCCTTCTGATGCCGCCGCATGTGGAAAGCGGAGGACTGACGAGTCATCCCTCTTCGTGCATTGCTGGCAGTCGGCGGACCATTGCCGATAGCAGGGTTTGCTGTCGCCGTGCCATCTTCATATAGAGGCTGTAGATGGGGGCCCGTTAACTGACGTCTTAGGCTATCGTCGGCGACCATGGCGGCTGGAGGTGGGCGTGGTTCAGAACTACTTCGTCTTCGGCCGGCTTGCCATGTGCTGTCGGATCCCGGTACTGGCGCTGGGTCAGGTGTGGGTTGGGGAGTATTTACGCTTGGTTGATGTGACGGTCTTCTTATGCGAATCGACGAACTGCGCAAGCGCTGGATAGGATTTGAGGTAGGCGCGTGTGGTTGGGAGGGTTGAGTGGAGGGCATGTGTGTCGTTGTGGTGACGGCAGGGTGTGTAATAGTGGTCGACTGGGGCCCGAAATGGTGCACGCTCGTTCCCTGTCCGGGTGCGGTGGATGTCGTGGTGGTGGTAGTGTAGGGGCCAGAGGTAGTGGTGGTGGAAGTTGACGACGACGCCAACGGTCGTCCCTGCTCGTGTGGGCCTTGATCCATAATTGCAGCGGTTGCGACGAGAGAGCCCCAGGAAAGGAAGCAGTTTGGGCGAGAGTGCGGCGTTGGGGTCAAGTAGTGTCTTGCTAAGCGTGCAGCGAGCGATCCGGCCGCGACCGACGCAATTAGTTCATTGTTCAGTCAGCAGCCTGTCTCCGCAATCCGTCGTGAGAACAGGGTTAGGAGCGCGCCGTGATAGGAAAGCGGCGCGTTGGCACGGCGATAAATAACGGGTTTGAGGAATAGGAGCGTGAGAGGGGTCTTGGAAAACACAGTCAAGCTTTCCTTGCACGCGCGGGTTGTCAACCAGCCGCGTGGTAGTGCTTCGGCTAGGGCGGCTTCGTTGAGGATCCGAGTGGCTGCATGCCATCCCTCCAGCAATCAGCTCTGACGTCATACCTCATGTCTCTTCAACTGCAGAGATATCTGGGGTTACTGACGCCTGCATGAGAAGGATTGACTAAGCATGGCTGACGCCCAATGCTTGATCATACGAGCCCTGCACGTCGCTGTCGCTGCAGCCACAGTCTCTGCATGGGAGCCACCAAGAAGCAATTAGTCGCATTGCGCAGACTCTGCCAGTTGTGCGCAGAAACAGTGGGCTTTGGAGACATGCATTATTGTTATGCCACCCTGGTCGAACTCAACAAATGTCAAATGTCGCTTGCAGGCCGGTTTGGGGGAGCAGCGTCTGGACTCACAGCCACAGGGCTGAAACACGGCCCAGCTGGTCGCGCCTAGGCCAGCGTTGACGTAGCTGTGGATCCCAGCTGCGCATCCGTACCTGAGCCATGCTGCCTTCCGACATCCACAATAATCTATACCTGTAGCATCCTTATCGCATTCATCTCTCCAAAATGAAAGCGGCACGCGCCCTTGTTCCAGCCTTTCTGGCAGCCAGCCGCGTCGCTGCCATGCCGCAGCGCAGCGCGCCGCAACAAGCTATACTCGACGCGTCGACGAAGCAGCTCGCCAAACCACTTGGTGTAGGCCACTTCAGCGAATGGAGCCGTGCCACAAAGAAGGAGTTCTTGGTAGACTGGCAGGCCGGCAAGGAGGATGAGTGGACGATGGTAATGGGCAATGAGGGCGGTGATATGGACTCCATGACCGCGGCGCTCACTTGGGCCTACCATCTTGAACACTCCACCGAACACACCGACAAGCCCATGAAGGCCATTGCACTTCTTCAGACACCGTCGCATGCGCTTGATCTGCGACCAGAGAACAGGCTGGCCCTCGACAATTCGCAGATGACGCCTGGCCATGAGGACTTGTTGACGCTGGATGAGCTACCTGAGGACCCCGAGACTCTGGGCAAGAAGCTTAAGGGCATCGTCCTGGTCGACCATGGCAGCCCTCTACGAAAGTGGAACGAGGCAAAGATCCTCAGCATCTTCGATCACCACAAAGACCGCGGCACTGCTCCTGACGCCGAACCCCGTGTCTTCGAAGTAGCAGCAAGCTGTACCACGCTCGTCGCTCGCCAGATGCTCGATGAACTCGAGAAACTGGACGAAGAATACCACATGCCGCATGAATTGCTCGAGCTGGTCCTCAGCGCCATTGCCATCGACTCTGGCGGCTTGTCAGGCAAGAAGACGACCAAGACCGACATCGAAGTCTCCAAGCGCGTCCTCGCACGCAGCAACTGGAAAAAGGACAGCCTCGAAGACGTAATGGAAGATCTCGACGACGAGCTCAGCAAGGCACAAAAGGACATTGACAACCTTGGTCTGCGCGACTTGTTGCGCCGAGACTGGAAGGGCGATATCATTGATACCCCCTCCCCGCGCACTCCTACCGTGAGCATTGGCTTCGCCTCGATTCCATACTCCATGGATGAGCAGATCCTAAAGACGGACTTTGCGGAACTCTTTGGTAAGTCTTGACTCCATTCCCAATCTACTCTTTGAGTCCATCTCAACTAACACACCCCAGACTGGTTCGCCGTGCATGCCGCCTGGACCGCCGAAGCCGGCGTCGACATCTCCATCACGCTCAACAAGTACAAGAAGCACTACAAAGACGGCGAGAAGGAGAAGATCCGCGAAGTCGTCCTCACCGTCCGCGACGACGTCCGTATCGACCAGGACCAAGCCGACTCGCTCTTCAAGACCGTCAAGGAGGCGTTGGAGAACAACGAGGAGGGTATTGATTTCCAGCCGTGGCACCGTGCGGATCAGTTGGCGCCTAGGCAGATGGTGTGGACGCACAAGAGTAGCGCGGGTAGGAAGGTTATCAGGCCGATTGTTGAGGAGGCGGTTATGAAGTGGGATTAAGGGTGGACCTGGACGGGGCTTTGGTACCTATATGAAGACGAGTCTTTATGAAATGTACCTGTCAATCCACATGTATTCCAGATGTATACATAATGATCTGTGATGTAAGTTGGATAAGATGCTCAACGTCTATCCTTCACGGTAGGTTCTGGTCCATGGGGTACGTTCTGAGGATGACAAAACTCAGGCGGCGTTGCTGCATACACGGTATTTGTTCTCACAGAGTGAACGGCAATAAGCATCATGTATACTTCAACCTGGAAAACACAAACAGGGCTTCCTCAAAATATCTTGCAAATGGCACTGATAGATGGCGAAATCCATGCAGTGTTGCTTCATACATGGTAGTAAAGCTCAACAAGTGGAAAGGCTCCAGGACAATGTATATCTCAACCTGGAGGGTAGCAATGCGACTTCTTCATGCGTTTCATGTCAGTGACATCAGTAGATGCTAGATTACATGCGGCGTTGCTGCTTACACAGTACTGAATCTTGGCGTAGGAGGTATCCAGGGTGATGTATGCTTCAAACTACGAAGTAGATACACTTCCCTTAATCGATTCTTGCGAACAACTTCAGTGTGTGCTAGAACCCAAATCGTGTTGCCGCATACACGGTATCAATCATGGACAAGTACGCAGTATCGAAGCTGATGTATACATCTGGCAGTGACAACGGAGAAAGGCATAGCCGCTGGGTTGCAGCATACGTGCTCTTCACTCTCAACAATTGAGCGGTTTCCAGAGCAATGTATACGTCTGGCAGCCCCGATTAACGGCAGTCTCCACATCGGACTACCGCATACATAGTATTGAAAGTCAACAAATAGAGGGTGTCTAGAACAATGTATGCTCCCTGCAGCACTGGCAGACGCTAATATCAACGTCAAGTTGCCGCATACACAGTGTTATATATCGGCGAATGCATGGTGTCCAAGGTCAAGTATACTTCTGGCAGCCCCGATCAACGGCAGTAGCTAGTTGGGGATTGCCGCATACATTGTGTTGAACTTGGAGAACTAGACATTACCCAAGTTGATGTATACTCCTGGCAGTACCAACGAATACAAATATACACGTTGGGTTACCGCATACATCGTGGTATATATCGCCGAATGCTTAGGATCCAAGGTCAAGTATACACCAGGCACCACCAAGCGACGACAGCGTTGCAGTAGGTTTGCCGCATACACTGTATTAAACTCCATCAACTAGGTGGTCCTCAACGTAACGTATTCTTCAACGCAGATTTTTCTGGGTGCAGAATCAAGATCATAACTCATCATTCCTAGGCTACGTGAAGCTCTTTGCCATACAAAACTACAAAAACGACCAATTCCAAAGAACATTTACAAAAAAAACAAGACAATCCTACAATGTATGCCCCCACCCGGCTATCTTCAGCCCCTGAGAGCCTGCCCTTTCGGGCGGCTGGAACTCAAGGGGCCGTCAAGCCAGGGTGGAGGGGAACAACAACCAAAACGACCAACTTCCTCCAATCAAAACAAAATCATACCATCTCATCTAACGCCGCCTGAAAACGAATGGGGTATCTAACGCCGAAAAAATGCTGAGTAGTCGTTTCCGTCTATGGGCGCTACCTGGGGCGGGCGCTACGAGCAGCTGGCTTCCTGACGTTGGCCGTGTTGGTCTTTGGTGACAGCACATGAGACGAAGTGGTTGTCTTTGTGCGGGAAGCAGCGCGGGTTGCGCGCGTAGTTGGGGCAGCAGCAGCAGGCGCCGATTTCTGAGTGGGTGCCCTAGTGCGCTTCTTTGGCACAGGTAGGTCTGCATTTTCCTTGTCCTCACCAGACAATTCGTCGCTGCTGCGCTTCTTGGCGCGTGTGGTCTTTGTTGGCTGAGCGTATGTCGGTGTGGGCTTGGCCTTGGCGGCAGGCTTTGCGCGCCTGGTGTCTGGTGACGAAGTCGCGGGTGCGGAGGAGCTTGTTGGGATAGAGTTTGTGGGAGCCGCGCGTGTCTTGCGGGAGGCAGGTGCTGGCGCTGGCGCTGATGTCTTCTTGGGTGGCGCAGTCTTGATTGGTGCTGGCGCGGTCGCGGTCGCGACTGGTTGTGCAGGCGCGGATGCCTTGAGGAGGTCTAGTAGCGTGGTTTGGCGCGTCACGGTCGGGATGCGGTTGACGCGACGCTCGAGACGCGACTGCATGCTGGCACACTGCGCGTCGCACTGCGCTCGTAGCTTCTCTTTGCGCGAGTCGAGCTCGATCTGGAGGTTGGCTAGCATGTTGGCTTTCGCCTCAGCTGTGATGCCGTCTTTGATGTTGTTCATCGCGTGTTGTGTGATGTGTGACGCGTCGGCGGC